ACCATCTCGTTTTATTACCTAGAATCATCTTGCTTATTTAATGTTGTGTAGACTTGTTTGTTGTTTGTCACCCCTCCCTTATTAGAATACAAGCGCTGAGGTAAGAGTACTTAGTTGTTTTTTCATTGTATCTCTAATACTACACTGAGAATTTAGAATTAATAAGAAATTTTCAATAAACATTTTAGAATGAATGAAGTGTCATAGTTGGATTTTATGGGACGGGCAAGATTTGGACATTCAGTAAAGGGCAGGAAGGGAGAGACATGAATTTAGGTGGCCCTGAAGGGAGTGGAGAATGAAAGATGCATCTGAAAACAGGTTTAAAGAAAACTATGGAGGTACTATGGTGGATTAGACACAGAGCATAAAAGAAACCGGACTAGTGACGAATCTGCAGTTTGTGCCTTTGAAGCCTGATAGAATGTGGATGGGGAGAATGATAGAAGTGGGGAGATTGAGAAGACAAGTGAGTTCATTGGGACGTGGTTGGTGCTATCAGGAGCCATGTCGCATGAACACTGCTACAGGCAGGGCTGAGGTGCATTGTCAAGTGGGAACGAGGCGAGTTGAGACTCCCAGGTAAGGAAGAGCTAGTTGTGACCATAAGTCAAGGGTGGGTTCTCTGAGCGAGTAAGTCCAGAAACAGAAGAGCCTGAGGAAACGCCTACAGAAGAGGATGCACAAGAGAGGTGGGTATGACAAGCAAAATGAGCATTTGGGGAGAAGAGGTCATCAGTGTCCACTACACAGTGAGGTCCCCAAACAAGCAGGTTAGAAGTTTTTATGCATGAGAAATGGGGGGATTTGTTCCTTGAAGGAAACAATTTTTGTAGAATCCTGGCAATTTCCTCCCCTATGTTTAAGATAAAGGAGAGAAAAATTGGACAGTTTCTAGATGTGAAGAGAATATTTAAAAACTGTTGTTATTATTCATTTTTTTTTCAGGCAGGAAAATAAATAAAATTTGCTCAGTACAGGGAAATATGAAAATGTAGAATCAGAGAAGAGAAAAAAAGTTACATAATTCTATCACCATGAGATAAGTGTTATAGATACTTATATTACTGGGTTACTAGGTGTATTCTTATTCTCTCTCTCAGTGTGTGCGTGTCTATGTGCTTTGAATATAGTTGTTATACTATACACACAGAAAGGTATCATGTCTTTTTACATAGAAGTTTTCATAAGTAATTGAAAATGCTTCATAAATGCATATTTTAGAGATGATATAATATTTTATGATTTTCCTAATCTACTCTGGTTGTTTGAAAATTGTTTTTTAATATCTTATTATAAATAACTGCATATTTGTGAAGAGAATTTTTCTTTAAGTTATTTCTTGAAGTTAGAACTAAATGTTATCAATTAGTTGTTAAAATTAAATGCACCATATTTCTTTTTAGAAATATTTACTCATTGTAAAATGAGGAAAACCTGAAAGCAAGAAGTGTCATTTATAGTTGTCCTATCTAAAGATAACATTGTTAAGATTTTGGTCTCATACTCTATCCCTCAATTAATCTTTAAATGCTAACAAATACTATCATTTAATAATTACTCAAAGCTTAGTATCTTATGAGTCCTCCCTCATTTAATTACGTCACATCCTGCCTCATAATTTCTAAAGGCTTTTGAGAACTGACAATATCTAGTAACCATATTTAGTTAACTTTTCTTCTAAGGAAAGATGTTCAGGATATTTCTGGTTGTTACTCCTTTAGTATGCTCTGAGAAATAGCTTTGTAGTTGAATCTTTATACACATTTCTGGTTATTTCCTTTTTTTTTTTTTAAGATTTATTTATTTGTGCATACAGAACTGGGGTACAGGCCAGAGGCTCAGGGGCAGCGAGAGTCTTCACCAGAGACAGAGAGGGGAGCAGAACAGGCAGATCGACGAAGCACACTGCTGAGGGGAGCAGCAGGCGGGTCAGGAGAGGTCTGCCACGCCATGTGGTCACCTCCGGGTCCGGCAGGAATGGAACTCATGCAGAAGTGGTTTCAGCTTCTTAGTGCTGTGCTTTAACCCACTGCGCCCCAGGGAGGGCCACTGGTTATTTCCTTTTAATACCACCTGAGAACTAGTTTAAATATTTTATGTGTGGTATCGAACACTATTGTATTCCTGTGTTCATTGTGTCCTGTCTGTGCTCTCTTATGTTCCCATCAGCTGGTTGCAGAGTTCCTGTGCCCCCATGTATTCAATCTCACTGTGTGTCTGTCAAGAGCAAGTATACAGACACTCCATTTTGATGTTTAATAGGCATCTCAAACTTAATATGTCCAAAGTCTAATGCCTGTGTTCTCCTTACCCACCCAGCAATCTCCGTCTCCCATCTCTCCCTTCATGTCAGTAGATGTCACCTCCATTCTTCAATCGTTCAGACCAAACAAGGATACCGTTGAGCCCTTTCTCTCTCTTGTACCTTGTATTCAATCCATTCACAAATCCTGTTGGCTCTATCTTTAAAATGTGTCTTGAATACAACTTATTATCACCACTCCACTGCTACCACTAGGCTCCAGGTCACTATCTCTTGCTTGAGTTATTTCATATCCACCTGCCCCTGGCCATCCCACCCAGGCCCACTGTGTGTCCAGTGTACGCGTCACCTGAAGGTGCCTTGAAACGTGGTTAGTATGACTGAAGAGCTCAATTTCAAATTTACCTAATTTTAATTAATTTATATTAATTTATATTTTAAAACCAAAGCAGTATAAAAGTGGTATTATTGAATTAAATATAGCTCCTATATTTTGATAGTACTGCATTTTACTCCAACCATTGAGAATTTATTTATTTTTTAAAGATTGATTTACAGAACTGGAGTACAGGCCAGAGGTGCTGGGGTGGTGAGAGGATTCGCCGGAGACAGAGTGGGGAGCAGAACAGGCAGATCGACAAAGTACACTGCTAAGGGGAGCAGAGGGCAGGTCAGGAGAGGTCTCATGCCATGTGGGTCAGCTCCCTGGCAGGGGATTGGGGATTGAGCTCATGCTGCAGTGGCTTCGGAGAGTTTTGTAATGCGGTATTTTAACTGGTTGCGCCACCAGGGAGAGCCCCTGATTTATTTATTTATGCATACAAGATCTGGGTACAGGTCAGAGGTGCAGGGGATGAGAGGATTCACCAGAGTTAGAGTAGGGAGCAGAACAACTGGACTGACTGAATTACACTGCTGAGGGGAGCAGCGGGCAAGATAGGAGAGGTCTGCTGGGCCATGTGGGTCAGCTTCCTGGCTGGGGGTTGAATTTGTGCTGTGGTGGCCATAGACAGGCCACTGGTGCTGCGCCCCAACCCTTTGCACCATCAGGGAGGCCCTGTTGAAAATTTAATGTTTAAATTGGGATATGCTAAGGGTAATGTGCACTTCAGATATTGAAGACCATGTACCCCCAAGGTGGATATTATCTCATTATTTATGTAGATTACGTGAAGAATGGTAATGTTTTTAATATGTTGTGTTAAAGAAAATCTCCCATCAAATGAAAAAACTCCCACAAAACCCAAACTTACAAATAACCTCCATTGATTTAATAAGTGAGAAAATTATTTCTAAATTGCATTTTCTTGAAGTCTAGTGAGGACTTCATTTATTTATTGACCATCTGTAGAGCTTTTTTTTTTTTTTAGGAGTTTCTTATTCATGGCCTTTGACATTTTTTGGTCACACACACACACACACACACACACACACACACACACACGTATAGCCAACTTGCTTGACAAACAGGATGATTAGTTTAAGCTCTAGTATATATTTTCTTTTTGTGTGAATTGTTTTATATCTCTTGCTCATTAAAAAAATGTATTTTTAGATAGAGATGTTCATTCATGTTTGAAGGCAGAATGCAAAGAGCTGAAAATGTAGGGGGAGTATACACACACACACACACACACACACACATATCCTTGAACATCCTTGAACAGTAAGAGCTGAAGTGAAAGAATATAGTACTTTGAAAGCATAATACCATGGCAGATGGTGCATTTGGCTTTTTGTGATAACTAATTACTAATTTATTCATTTCCTGGGTCACTATTAAGTTCTGAGAACATCATCCTTTAGGATAAACTTTTGAACAAATGTGGGCATTACGATTGTTTTTGCTTCTGATCAAAAGCTCTAAGGTTAGGCGGCAAATGAAGGAGGAAAAAAAACCAACAATAGGTACTGATTGTCATGCTGTTTAATTATCAGTTTTAATAAAATGCCCCAGAGAACCCTATGGATAAATGCCTCACAGACTTAGTGGATGGTTGATTGTAAGAGTTTCTTATGGAGTCAAGCATACTTCAAATTTATATTCTCTTACTCATAATCATTCTGATTGCTTATCTAAGGAGTAGGATTTAGTAACAGTTCATTAAATGAACAGATGAATGAATATGTAACATGAATTTAGTTGTATCTGGACATGAACAAAGGGTCATAAATTTAGTTGGGTGCTAGAAAATCATAATTATTTTAAGTTATAGTGAGAAATGAATTTACTTTGCTTCCTAAAATTTTAGGATAAATTTTGCAGGAAATACCATAAAGTAGGCAATCTACGAATTAATGATATTTTATGACTGTAAGAAGTATTGAGAACTTCATGGATCCTACTCACTTCCATGACTTAAAATGCCAGTGAATCAAAGATTGCCATGGAAACAATCTTTCTATGATCAGTGACAGGGAAATTGTGATAAATGGTCTTAAGATGAAATCCATTTACCCTAGCTAGTAGCATCCTATGATGTTTTGTTTGGTGTGGATTTTATTTGTCTTGAAACTTTGAGGGTAACTCACACTGCTTTGTAATTTATTATTTGCTCTTGTGGAAATTTAGGAAGGGAATTTAAAGGACTATTAATCTGCATCTGAGTGTATGTGCGTGCGTGTGTGTGCATGTGTGTGTGTGTATTGAGGGGTGACTTGGGAGGCAAGAATCTGGGGCAATACTGACATGTATGAATTTTCCTGGAATTTCTTCCCCTGGGGTAAGGAGAAATCATTGCTTCGTGGTGCTTGTCTCCCTGTGTGGCGCTGGCTCCTCCTCTCTCTGCCCGCCATCCTTCTCATCTCCCAAGGCCTGGAGAACAGATATTTGCTGTGGGCCAACAGGGTCCTCATCAGGCAGAAGTTCCCTGGTGCACTGTTGTAAACCTTGGCTGTCATGGGTAAGGGAGGCAACTGGAGGCTCGTTGCCGAGCTCTGGACTCGATGCCCTGACTGTCTGAGCTTGTTTCTGCTGCTCCTCTTGAGTTGTGTCTGTTTGCTGCAGAATCTTCTCCTGCAGGTACGTGTACAGTGGGTTGGGATAGATTGCACTTCTCTCCACAGGACGCAGCTCCTGGGCTTTCTGACTCCTCTCTTTAAGGCCTGGCTGGGAGACTGAAGAATCATACCCTTTCTTGGCTGGGTTTGATTGGTCTTCACCTTCTCCGGCCAGCTCTAGGGGGCGTTCATCCTCTTCTGCTGATGTTGCAGTTTCCTTTGCTTCACCATATGTCTCAGGAGGGGCTGAATTATCCTCTCCCAGGCTTTGTACCTGAGCCTCCTGGGTCTCTGATGCTCCAGTTTCCTTTTCTTTTCTGCTGTCTCCCTTTGCAAGGAGCAGTGTTATGGAGAGCTGTTCAGTGGGGTCTGCAGCCTGCAGCCCTGGCAACTCTGTCTTCAGGGGCTCTCTGTTTTCATCTCCTGCTGTGGATGTCTGTGTCTCTGGGTGTTCACTGGGCTCCTCAGTTGGGTCTGGGCCTTGGGTCCGGGAGCCCTGCCCCTGGTGGTCTCCTTCAGCAGGCTGTTTCTCTCCCTCTACATGTTGTGCATTCTCTCCTCTGACCGCCGGCACCACTGCCTCCTGAGTTCTGTTTTTCTCACCTGCTACTACCTGGTTCTGGGTGTCTGGGTTATTATTCTGACTTCCTTGCACAGTCTCTCTGAGTAGGTCTGCTTGACTCTGGGAATTCCCTTCTCCAGGTGAGTCACTTGTCTCTGAGCTTCTGTTACCTTCCTTTGGAGTCAGACTATTGGAGTTTTTTGAAGACCCTTCATTCTGGGTGACTGTTGGCTTGGGGCTGTGTCCCTGGTCATCATGGTCCTCCATCAGCTTGTCCTGAGCATTTGTGTCCTTGTTTTCCCCTGTTGCCTGGTTCTCAGGGAGTGCCAACTCCTGCCCCCTTTCTCCTGCTCCTGGTGTCTCTTCTGCAGGGGCGCTTTCGCTGCTCACAGGTGCTTCTGTAGCGCTTTCCTTAGCATGTTCTTCCTTTTCTCCTTCGATTTCAGGATGATTCTCGTCACTGCCTGGTGAGCTCAACTCTTGTATCTTAGAGATTTTCTTGGCATCTCTCCCTTTTGATGATTCCCGGAGTTCCTGGCACTTCTCATCCTGTGTTTGGTCTTCTAGGGCTGGTAGTTGAGTTTTTCTCTCACTTTCTTTCTGTCCTCTTGTTTCATGACCCTCAATATCTTTCCCTTCTTTCCCTTCTGTGCTAACATGGGGCATTTCCGAAATGTTTCTGCTATCATGATGGACTAGCAGATCCTGTTTTTTTTCTTGTGCTGGGGGTTCTTGGGATTCAGATGCTTTGCCGTCATGCTCAGGTTCGGTTGGATCCTTTGTTTCAGGAGGGCTCTTGTCAGCATCCTTTTTTGCTTCGTGCATCTCAGCTGTCCCACTCTCATCATCAGGAACAGTTGATTTCTGTGTCTGGAGTGGATTCTGAGTGGCCGTTTGTTCTGGCAAGTCAGCAAGTTCTGAACTGTGTTCATCTTTCCCCTGCACTCCTTGGGCTTCAGAGTGTCCCTCAGTATCCTTTCCTGCTGTAGCTGCCTGGTCCTTACGTGGTCCCTGCACTGTTTCTTCTGCTTGAGAACTTTGTTTTCCAAACTTCTCCTTTGTCTCAGCACCACTCTGCTCCCTGGTTGGCTCATCTCCCTCCCTGGGAATTTCTTTATTCTGTCTCTCCTGCTTTGTGGAACTGCCAGTCTGTCCTGATACTGCCATTGGCTTATTTGTCTCAAGTTGGACCCTGTTGTCTCCTGTCGATAGTGCATCTTCCTGGCTCTGTCCATCTCTTTCTAAGTGTTGATTTTTAGGGTCCTTATACCCAGATGTTCCTCTCAGCTGCTTGCAAGTCTTGGTGTCTCCATGTGGATCCAGACTATTGTGTCTACCTGCTCCTCTTTCCTCAGGGCTGAGCTCAGTGGAGGATGCTGTTTTTGAAGAAAACACTGTTTGATCTTGAGTTGTTGGGGTGCTTTCTGCCGGTTGGCCAGCCCTGCTGCTTGCCTGAAGATCCACATTATTTGGCTTCCCTGATTTAGACACTTGTCTTGGTTCTGAATTTAGCAATGATTGTATGTTGAGATAACAGCGGTTCAACAGGTTGAAGATGGTAAGAACAAATTCATCAAAACTGATGGTACCATCGCTGTCAATATTCAGAAGGTTCAAGTTTCTCTCTACAGCACGAATGATGCTGGACTGCATGAAAACACAATGAGAAATCAGCCTGTTTACATAGGGTCAAGTGTCCTGAGTGTCTTCATGTCTCCTGAGATCCTAAGATCCCTCTTTTTTTTTTTTTTACCCTATTCCTTGTGAAATTCCCTCAAACATAAGACTTTTTAATTGGGCTTGCATCAGTGCTATGGCAAGATGGAACATGGACATGGCTTGCTGTGCTTTGCGGCCTAATGCATCACCTCTCCTCTCAAAAGCCTACTTTGCCAAAGCAATAGTACCATTGAGGAAATGCTCCTTTTGCTCTAGGCGACTGATTAAGCAATTGCAAAGAATAGGGAGGCTGTAAAATATTGTTCCAAAGTCAGTGAATGCTGAGAGTTGGGAGATAAATGTAAAAGGGGTGGGGTCTTTCCGTCTGCAGGGCTCCAAGCTCATCTTGTCTGGATTATGGAGAAAAGGCAAGTGGAGAAGTCCCCCAGCTCCATGAGCACCTCACCTGCAGAATGTCTCCAAACTCGCCCTGGATGAGCTGTTTCAGCTCTCTGTAAGTCAGCGTCGCCTCATTGCTGTCTTCCCTGGCGTACTTGTGGAATGTGTCAATTACACAGAGGACATCTCTCAGCAGCTGAGGCATCTTCACACACTCAGGAGACTGCAAGAGAGAACAACATGCATTTCCCAGGAAGGGTCTTCAGATAGGCGATGCCAAGATGACCTTTCTGTCCTTCCCCAGCTGCCCTTGCATCATCTGTTCTATTCGAAATCTCAAAATAATGTATCTAAATCAGGGTGGATTTAGTTTGGTACTAGATTGTATGAGATCAGATTAGATACTTCACCTCATCCTGTGAAAACAGTGATGCTTATTTTTCAAAGCAAAATTATTGCAAACAAACAAACAAACAAACAACAACAAAAAAACCAAAGCCAAAACAAACGAACAAAAAACCCCAGAAGATACAAGCAATGCACTGAACAAAGGAAGCCAACAGCAGCGTGAGAACAGCCCATTGCAAATGTCCCCTATTTTCCTTGCATTTGGCTCACTCTTGTTCCTCTGCTTAGGAGAATATAACTTTTGAAATTAACTCAAGTTGTAGAACAAAGAGAAGTAACACCAAGAAAATCAATTCCTGTATATGCAGGTGGAAACAACATCTTCTTACCAAGAAGACAGGCTCAATGGACTCACTGGTAAACAGAATCCTGACCCTGCAGTCATGACCCACAGTTAAAACAGTTCAATATTTTCATTTTAATATAAGACAGAGTCCCATGTCTTGTTAAATAGTTAGCAAGCCAATATCATCCCAGCAACTCAAAAAAAAAATGCTAAAAAAAAAAAATCAAAGAAATTTCATAAGCAAGGAATGCATGTAAATGGCCAGATCCCCAGTGTAGTATTAAAAGGAGTCAATGTAAGGCATGTTTCCTCTGAAACTCTATACAGAGTCACATATCCTAAAGCAGCAGACAGGATCCTAAATATCTTCCAGCAGAAAGTCTGTGACACTTACCTTGTTCACGAATGAGAACCAGTGAAATGTGGGGGAGAGCTGTGAGTTGACAGCGAGCACAGAATCCTTTTATTCTGTCCCTAATTGCATAGTTAGGACGGAGACACCCTCCGGGTCTAATGCCCTGATTCATCACCTCCCAAACCCAGTCTCTCCTCTCTTCTTTCTCTGCTGTCTTATTTACTTATTATTATGTCTCAGCTTGTCTCACTCACTCCTTATTCAGGCAGCTTTAGTCTGCTTCCAAGGAAAGGGTGAGGGAGATCTTTGTACACTGACTTTGCAGGTTATAGTTTTGAATAGTTCTGAAGGACCTTCAGGGTGGTGTTGGCTTTCTTCTTCTTCTTTTTTTTTTAATCCTATGGACACAATTATATTTGTTTGACAAATCACAGGGCTGGCAGGGACATCAGACGTCTGATTCTTCTCTCTGCCCACATGATGGACTATGTTTGACCCAGCTTGATAGATGGGTGCCAATCATGTGTTTAAAAGTAAAGGCTCCATTAGCCATGTGACCAAGTGGAGATACCAGTTATTTCAGGTGCTTCAATGCTCTACTCTCCTTGCTCAGAGGCAGAGTCAGGAAAAAAAAAATCTCTCACTGGATACACAGAACTTTGTTGACCTAAGATGTGCTATTTTTAAAGTAGGTGTGGTATTTACTCTTTAAAGGAATTTTTATAATCCAAAGGGTTTAGAAATGGGTATTCTTATGACTGAGTTCTTCCTGCAAGAGGGAAAGAGTGGTATGGACAGAGAGGAGGGAGTCTGAGATGCTAAACTGGCAAATGTTTTTATTTATTCCTGAATCTGAATAGAGAATATTTAATTACCAGGAGAATTAGATTCCATTTTTTCCAGGTATTTAAACAGAATAGAATTTGTTTTGAAATACTCTTGCCTGCATGTAAGATTTCAGAAATCAATCTATGGAAATAAGTATACAAGACAGAAGATTGGGATAATGAAGGGAAGGGGTTGATGTTAATTTTATGAGAAAACTAAGCTAAAGAGCATATTTATATTGAGAAAAACCTTATTCTGATCTTCCTGATTATCAGGAGAGTATAAGGGGTGGAGTAGGGGAGGGGTAATGCATGTTTGTAGTTTCTGCCTTTAAAAAAATTCTCAGCATTCCCTAAAATGGAGAAGCCTTCTACTGAGAGTTTGGATTGACATGTGAAGGCCATTTTAATTTTGATGAGTTACATGCCTAGAGTACCAACTATTTGTATCAGACACTGGAGGTATTTAGGGTTGAATGAGTTATGTCTTCCTGCCCTCGAGCTCATGGAGCAGTCATGAGAAATGGGTGAAGGAAGCTGAGTATGTTTAAGTTTGCACTGAAAAGAAAGACTCGGGGGAGACATAATAGCTGTTTTCAAATATCTGAAGGGTTTCCATGGGTGAGGAGAGATATGGGAAGAGAAAGACACAAATGTTCATTGACCACATGACATGTCAGGAGCTTTCCAAGGGCTGTCTTACTTAATCCTCATAGCCCTTTAGGTAGTTGTTACCTCTTTTCCCAGATAAGGAAGTTATGGCTCTTAGTTGTGAAGTAACTTGCTAATGGTCATGTATCCAGAAAAGATACTGGACAAAGCCAGGACACAGATTTGGAGAGCTTCAAGAGTATGTCTCTCTCATACCTTGAGTTACTTATTCTATATAATGTCAGAGAGCAGAACTGGAATCAGTGGTTGAAACCTTCTATAGTAGACTAGTTCTTAAGAAGAACTTTTAAATGAGTAGAGTTGTTTGACAGTGGTGTGGGCTGCTCCTAAAGTAATGAAACCCATATAACTAAAACTGCTCTAAAAGAGGCTGAATTATAATCCATTGGCTAGGTTACAGGAGCAGGAGGTAAACCTGACATGAACTGAAGGGCACTGAACTCCTTCAAGTCTGGATGTCTATGGTTTTGGGTTATAGTTTCTATTAAAAAGTCAAGTTTGGATTTTGTCTTAGAAATGACCTTACCTCTTTATTTTATAAGGAAAATAAAAATCAGACCAGAACACCTAGCTTTTCTTCCACTAAATGACAAACTTAGGTATCAATGTACATTAATGTTTCCTTTTTGGTACATCCGAAAATTTACCATCTAAGCCTATTCTAATTCCTCTTTCTGGATCTTATTTCTTCCCTATTTCTTAGGAAACTTGCTATCATGATAATTCCCTCTCTTCTATATGGAACCTCTCTTAACTTACACATACACAAGTCTCCCATTTTATAAAATCCTACCTTGAGCCTTTAACACTACTCAACATTTCTCTTCCCCTTCATGGTGAGTATTCTTGAAAGATTTGTCTTATGTTTCTGATGACTGTGTTCCTCAGCCACTCCACTGAGCTATACGAGATCTCCACTGACAGTCTTGTCACCAAATGGTCACTTTTCAGCCCTCACCTTGCCCAGCTTCTCTGCAGTGCTTCTCTCATATCTGCTTTCTCCTTGCAATACATTCTTTCCTGATTTTCATTACCACTACCTACTCCTGGTTTTCTCTTACTTTTTCAAAGTCTCCTTTTTATTGTCCTTCTTCAGTTTTCTTTCTTGCCTTTCCCTTAAGTGTTGCTGTTTCTTAGGGTTCTCTCCTAGTTCACTTTTTTTTTCCCCTCTTCCTCCATGTCCTGAATAATTTTATGTACTCTTATGCTAGGCTGGTATTCCTCATTTATATATCAAATCCAAACTTCTCACCTGTGCTCCAGACTCTCATAACCAACTACTAACTAAATATTGCTTCTTGGAAGAGTCAAAGGCTCCTCCAGCTATGGGAGTTGGAGACATCTGGTTTCCCCTTGCTGCAAACCTGAGGCTCCATGTGGATTCACTTCAACAGTGAGACCATCCTCCATTCTTTTTCTCCAACTTTAACCTTAACATCATCTTTTATGTCTCTTCAATATATCACCACCTCTTCAATATATCACCACCAATATATTCAATATGTCTCTTCAATATATCACCACCTCTTGATGATTCTGATTTTCAAATGTATTCACTTTTATCGTCCATCATCTCTGCTTAAGTGATCATGTCACTTAAGCAGGGACTTCAGTAACATCCTCCTTATGTTTTTCTGCTTCCATCTTGATCCCCCCAGCCTATTCTCTAAAATGTAGCTAGAGTAATCCCTGTACTCTGTCAATCTTATAATCACTCCCCTGCAGAAAATTAAAAATAATTCTTTGTTGCCTTCGAGATAAGATTAATATGGCTTACCAGCCCTCATAACATTTCTGCCATCACTGCTTGCCATTTATCCTCTGGCATTCTAGGTCTTCATCAGATTCAATTATGACCCACTGTGTCCTCTCTTGCCCTTAGTTTTTAATTACGAATTTCATCCTGACTAGCAAGTTCTTTCTCTCTTCATCAGGCTAACTTTCTACCTTTTCTCAGGTTTCAGCTTATATAACTTCTCTAGGGAAGATTTCCTGACCCTGCTAACCAGGGTTAGATGTTATTATCCTCATAAACTCTGTCTTTCTTTCACAGCTTTTTTTGGAGGTTGGCCTGAAATTTGTCACCCTTCCCACTCATGGTCAGAGATGAAACCTGGGGCTTGACTTGGTTAGGATCCACATATGAAAATTAACATGGGGACATTTTGTAGGGTGCTTCAGAGGAAACGGAGGTACATGTACTCTTAGCATAATAAGGTCAGGATTATGATTTCATAAGAAATAGGGTCAAAGTAACATTAATAGGAAGAATAAGATTGACTCATATATGCCAGACAAGTAGGCTTTTAGAAAGAAAATAATTCTCATGGTGAAGAGTTGTATTTGAATTTAAATGTTCATGGGAAAACCAACCTTCGATCTGGAATGAAAATCTTCTCACCAGCTTTCTCATCTCTATATCCCAACCCAACAATATATGGTACTAACATCTATCTTCACTTGCATTCACATCTCACTAAGGCCTTTATACTGACTATTCATGCCAGAGTAACTTACTACAGTTCTCAGACAATGAGAGTAAATTATAGGACAGGAATCATGAACATGGTATTGTCCAAGACTGAGGAATTGATTTCAAGATATAAGAAAGAACAGTAGACTTCAGGACCTTGGAGGGAGGGATGCATATCAGTGGG